GAAACAAAAAATGATTTTAACTGTACTCCAAACCTGAATCGTTTAACAATTTCAAATAATGTTTAAGCCGACACTGCGCCATATCTGTAGCAGTGTTACCCAGTTTGAAGTCACTGTCGAACATGGCTTTGCGGCCCACGTAGTATTTGTAGGTGACCTTCTGAGCTGGACTGTAGTCATTCTTCAGGTTGGAACTATCAATGGCTCTAATCAGAGGTTTGCACAGGTGCAGCTTATTGATCTGCAACACATAAACCTGCAGCTATAACCAATCACCAAATCTCCATCGATGATTCATAAACTGGGTGTTTCAGTCACTAATTATTGAGTTTAGACCTTGAAATAAATCTTGAAGAGCTGGTTGCTCAGAAACATCATCCCCCACTTCTTTGAGTCCTCAATACCTGCACGACTACCAACATTGAAAATGTCAATATTAACAAGGACGTCCATTAAACATGAAATATAATAGTGCATAAAATGGGAATTATAATCAACGCATACACAGAGGACGTGTATATTTACTGACTTGTCACTGGCACAAACTCTGAAGCAGCTCATCAGCTGCTCTGCTGCTTTCTCCAACATCTCGCTAGGCTGACCTTTACCCTTCTTCTGTAGCTGCTGCTCCGCCTGGACACAATAAAATTAAAACCCACTTTCAATAACTTTCAATCACACCTGAAGGTTTTCACCTGTAATTTCCTGGTCCTGTCTCTATACAAATTTCTTTACGTCAGCTGTTTCATTTGCATTTATAGAGGAAAATGGTTACATTTTTTAGTTTTCTTACTATAAATATAAATACAATACTGAGTACTCCTCATTTCTTTATATATTTTGCTAGGAAAATGGGAAACCAGTGCAAGCATACATGGAAATATAGCATATAAGGCAATCACAGGGTTGTTACAAATCTAACAAGGCTGAAAGTCAATATTTGCAAAATCTAAAGAAATGAGTTGAGGCTCAAGACTTTTGTGCAGGACTGTAAATAAATACACATATATGGATGAATTTGACTGCTGAACAGATAAAAGAAAAGCCATTACGTTGTTGGCGAATATCCGGAGGTCCAGAGTGACAGCAAACATCACTGGCAGAGCCCTGAAACAGAGGGCAGTGATGGTGCGTTCAAAGGCAGCACGTTAGAATCAGCTTCAGTCTGCTACTTTGAAACTGAACTCACCAGTTCTCCTCTTTGTGGGACTGAAAGGCCTTCAAGAAGGACGTGAGGAGTCAAGGAGCTGATCAGACTGATTAGTGATTATTTACTGAAGGTCAGATTGTGTGATTAAGAGACCAAAAAGTCACTTTATGAAGGATATTGAACAACGAGCGTCTGGAACTTGTAGGCTTCAACAAAGTCATGGTTGGCTACAGCGTAGGTACACCTGAAACACACACACAGCCATTTTCTTTCACCTTTATGTCCTCACAACACCACTAAAGCATCACCGTCTGATCCGTCGGTCCCACCTGAGGTGAGCTGCGACCATCTCATCGTACGGCGGCTCCAGAACCTGCTGACACTTATCCTCTGGACTCGCCAGCTGTAACACACACACACACACACACACACACACACACACACAGGTGAGGCTGTGTCCTAGCAACATTCAGAGTTTATGCGAGGCAGCAGTGGCTAACCTGGAGACGGGGATTGGCAACATGCGGGTGTTTGAAGGACAGCAGCTCAGCACAGAAGGAGCCCTCACGGTTGTCGATGGCCTCGTAAACCTTCAGGAGGAAAATGAGACAGATTCCAACCAAATTACATAAAAAATGTACATTTCAGACACAGTTAAAGGTCAGAGGTTACCTGCTGCAGGTACTGGTTGATGGTGATGTGAGCCATGAAGGCCTGCTGACCCAGCAGCTGTCTGGACCTGAAGAGAAAAACCAGTTTAACTTCACTTCAGTTTTCCTGTTACTCATGTATTCATGTTATGAAACAAACAAACGTGATGATCTCAAAGCTCCAGCACAAAAGAAACATTATTGCTGCACAGTTTGGCTGCTTGAAGGGTGAACCTCAACTTCAGCACAGTAAGAGTCACCACAGCAGATCATCGTCCTTTGTCGCACCAGCCCTCTGCATCCTCCTTCACTACATCCAAGACTCTCCTCTGAGGTCTTCCTCTTCTTCATATTCAACAATCTTTCCTAATATATTCCCATCATGATTGACCTCTGGCGCTCCTGGTATCCTTTCCACTTATTCACTTGCACACACATTGTATCTAACTTCCTTCTCTCAGATCTCTCCCTTTACCTGCACTAATCTGTTATGAGAATCTCATTCCTTATTATCTTTATGATGTTTGCTGGTCAAGATTTTTACTCCTAGTGCCTGGGACCAGCACTAGTGACTTGAATTACTTTGTTTGCATTAATGTAAATCAGGAATAATTCAGTTTTATTTTTTTCTGTAGAATCGTTTGATAAATAAACGCAAGCATTATTTTTTTTTATATTTTTATAAATAATTGTTTGATTTATTTATTTTATAACACGTGTTTTACGTTCAGGTGGGTCTAAATCAGTTTAAATATAGAGCACATAAGAATATTCAATTAAATTTTCAATTCAATTCAATTTTATTTATATAGCGCCAAATCACAACAACACTCGCCTTGATTTGTGACCATTATATGGTCACTATTTTCTTTTACTTCATATTAGCTTATGATAACTCCTCTTTACAACCTGCATCCACAAACACTCTTAAATTTAATATCGGAGGCTGATTTTTATATTTAAAAAAGAAAAATGAAGACACAGAAAGTCTACGATCTTATTTTATTAAGATCTTAATAAATTAAATAAAAGCGGATTTCTCGCCGGGTTTCTCTGTGAAACTGACTCCAACCAGGCAGCAGCTCTCTTTTCGCTTTAATTCCTTCGTTTCCGGTTAAAATCCTACGTTTAATCGCAGTTTCCGGTTGATAACAGACAACAAGTAACAACACAAACATAAAAACGAACAACAGACAACTACCTACCTTCAAAACAAAAATTTAATCTGAAAATAAGTCCCAAATCCACTATTTGCGTCCATTCAACTGATGCACACCACAACAACGTCCGGGTCTTTGGGGAGGGGGGTCATACTTCCGCTACATTTCCACAATAAGAGGCTATAATTCAAAATAAAAGCATTACACTATACCATCTATCACGACGAATGGTCAAAAACAACTAAATATATGTTTTTACATATATTTTATCTAAATATATGTTTTTACATATATTTTGACATGCATTTTACAAACATTTTGACATGAACACACTCTCTCTTAAGTCTTTATTGACACACAGCTGAATCACAACCTCTCTCTTTCTGCAGCAGAAAACAAACAAAAAGCAACAACGAGAGCAGAACAATTATTTGGTGTTTTTGCTGACTACATGTTTTAATTTAATTAATTTAATCTTCAAATTATCTTTTGTTTCTGCTTAGCAGCAATAGATCCGGAGAAACAACAATGAGAAAGCAACATCATCAACAACAAAGACATGAATCTTTTACCTCTGACTCCAGAGGGCACCATAACACCACAGAGTTTGCAAGACCTAACATTGATTTGATTTATTTTAACACTTTGATTCAGCAAATGATATAATGTTGATTTACATGTGACTTGATGAGCAAGTGGCAACCACTAAAAGTCCCTGCTAGAGACCTTTAATATCTGCAAGAAAAGGGAGCCAAATTTACTGTCAGGTAAAGGGGAATAATTTTAATTCCATTCTCTATATTATATACTGCAACTCTTCAAAAGTCCTAAATAATGCTCCAGCTCTTTAAGGCTCTTCTCCATATGAAAGCTCACTTCTGTTTGATTTCCCAAAATCTGGAAGAGAGCTGAGGGGCAACACCTAGATCCTGTGAGCTGTGATGTTGGAAACAGAAAATTCAGAGCAGTGTACATAATTTAACATTATTAACTCTGGACAGGTTTAAATGAACATCTGAGATGGTAACATCAAATATATGACGATATATCATAGCAAATTATGAATCTATTATGTTTCTAAATGTAGCTCATCAAGGCCCTCCTCCCTAAAAATCTGACTGGCCAACATCTCAAAGCCAGCCATGAAACCCAATGAGCCGTGATGCTGGAGACAGAGGATTCAGAGCAGTGTGAAGTCTCAAAAGAAATACTTTTACATAAGTTTGCTTCATTATTTTTAACTTTAGACAGGTTTAATATGAATATCTGACACTGTGACATTAAATACATGACAACAAATCATGAAAAGCATAATACATCTCAAGTCTTAGCATGATTTGCTTTTGAAAATAAACCACATTTATCTTATACTTATCTTATTCAGCCCATCAGTTCACTTTTGATTGGCGAACTTCTGGAAGCCTGCAGAAAATTTGAAATTTCATAAATTATAAATTGAGTATAAAGAGGAATCTGAAGCCCAGGCTGTTGGCTAACATTAGATTTACATATGTTCATCTCACTGTTTTACATTTTTATTACCAATAAATATGGGGGGGGGGGGGGGACCCAACAGTATTGGTTTAGTTTAAGTAACCAAAAGAATGGCTGTCAGTAGATGCTTACTATAAGACATTAGCAAATATTTACCTATTAGATTTTAAAAGTGGCCTCCAGTGCTCATTAGATTGCATCAACAACCAGCAGGTACATGTAACCATTTTATTTACAGGTATTTACTGGTTAGCTGCTAACTAAAACGGTTGCCACTAACTCAAATAACACCGTCACTCATATGTAGCTACCAGTTGCTAACCAGTATCTGCTACTTACATGCAACAAAGGCCAGCAGTGATTACCTTTATCTACTAATAGCAGCCACTAGCAGACGTTAACAGCCACTAGAAGTTCCCATGTAGGAGTTGTCACTGTTATCTATAAGTAGTCACAGCTGCTAAATGAAATACTAGCCACCAATAGCTGTGGTACAAGCAGCCAACTGGCCACTTCCTGTGGCCTCGGTCTAAAAGTCATAGAAACTAGTCCATCAACCCCAGTCAACCTATGGTCGCTAGGGAAAAAAAGTGTGTATTTCCTGAATGGTTGGTGAGTGCTTGTTGGCTGTTAGGTCACAAAGTCTGTCATAAAGAAGGTGCTGCACCAGAAAACCTCCATAAGACTCTTTTGGTCACTAACAGACTTCTATGTTAGCCAAGAGTTTGCATACATAGTTCACAGTTTACCATCAGATAAATGCTTTGTCTTACTGCTGGACCCAACGTGTATAAGAGGCTCCAACTTTTACTAGTAGGTGACCGGTCTCTGTTTCCAATTTCACTAGTGGGTTATGAACTCTTGATGAGTATTTGCAGATAAGTTGGCTTATTACCTGAAAACTGTGAGTCACTGCGGTAATCTGGTACCCACCAAAGCAACTTTTAGGAGGTGTTTTGTGCAGCACCCTCTTTGTGATTAATTTCACAAAGCAACTGCCAGAAACTGCTCGCCAACTGGTTGAAGACTACATATTTTTGGGGTTGGGGTTGGGGATCTCTGTCCCTATGTGATTGTAGCCACAAGCAGATACAAGTAACCATTCCTTTTGAAATGATATCTATACAAATAGTCATAAATAGTTACAAATAGTGTTTAAAATATATATATTTTTTATCAACTGCATGATATGAGTAGCCATGAAAGCTTACAGTACTCTATGTACAAATAACCAGCAGCTGGTTACTATCAAATAATCTCACTGAACAGTTACTACCAGGTTACTAGTGTGTAGTGGGTTATCACTGATTAATTTGGCCAATCACATCACATTTCAGAAAGAGTGTGTGGGACCAGGCGGCCATCCAGCCCCGCCCATCCGAGTGTGACCAGGAGGCTGCATGAGTCCCTCGCTGCTGATTGGTCCATGGTGGAGCCCAGCGCAGGGTGAGTGGGAGGGGCTCAGCTCGCTGCATCCAACTGTCCACAGACAAGGGTACTGACTGAAAACACACACAGATAGTTCATTTAATCTGAAAAACCAGTACATTTACCATTTAAAGCTGTGGGATGGGTTTCACCTGGAGCTGTGAGGAGGAGGAGGCTGTGATGAAGGGGCGCTGCTACTCAAGGGAATGGAGGCAGAGGAGGGTGAGGAAGAAGATGAGGTGGGACGAGGGGAGGAGGTGCTCCAGCCATCAGATATCACCTGAACACCTTCAGAGAGACACACTGAGAGCACACAAAGAATCCAGAATTTAGAAACTGCTGTGTTCATTCAATATTGAGTAAAATATTGAATAAAAACCAAAAGACTTAAACAAAAGATAGGATTTTGAACACAAAACAAAAATCTGTAAAATGTACTTTTTTGCTAAATAAGAGTAAATATATATGTATGTATGTATATATATATATAAAATATATATATATACATATTTATATTTATATATTTATATATACACACACACGTGTGTGTGTGTGTGTGTGTGTGCATATTTCTATATTCATGTAGATGTCTGCAGGCAAAAGTTTGTATATAAATATTTAAAATTAGCATATAAGTAAATCAACATAATTTACATTGTGTACTAGTGTATATAAAGGTATATATGTATATAAGTAGTTATAGAAAGTAAATGTTCACTGAATATTCAGAAAAAAACCCATATAAAATATGCACGTAAATGCTTATTTGTTTATCTGTTTAATATACAGTTCATTAATCATTGTTTTTATGTCACATATATAAGAATTTTGTTTTTAAATCATAATAGACATGAAGAAAATTTGTATATTAATGACAAAAAGAGATGTCTGCATGCAAATGTATGTATATAAAAATTGTAAATGCTTTATATTGTAAACATTTAGTAAATAAATAAATCGTGATTTTTTATATAGTTATAAATGAACATGAAACTACATGTTTATACAGCACATGTTTATACATATAGTATAATGTATAATGTAGTATAATGCCAGTGTAAAATGTCATGATTATTTCAATATAGTGAAAATGTTCTGCTGCACAGTTTTACATTAAAATTGAAAAAAGTAAAAACAAATATCTATGATAATTGTAGCAAATATGAAATCCCTCTGTAATGTTGAACATGATAAGAAGTACAAAACTTTATTTTTGGACTTTCTACAAACATTCACAAAAACACTGTTACCTGAGGAGTGCGGGCGGTGGGGCAGGTAGGCAGTGGGGTAAGGCGTGTGTCTCCCAGGGTATCCATGGTGTTTATAACCATGGTGATGATGTGATGTCAGCGGGAGGCTGCTGCCATAAGGAAAAGCACCTCCTCCTCCAGCTGAGCACAGCGACCAACCTTACACACCAAAGCACACACGCAAATATCTGTTTACCTAAAATGTATCGATAGTTTGTTTTTTGTGTCAAGAATAGCAAGAAATATATACTTACACAAAAAATAAAAGCACAAGAAAAGTAAATGCTCAGAAAAACTGTTTATAAAAAAGGAATAAAATATGCTGTTAAAATCAAACACTTTCATAGATTCATAAATTTCATACCATGGAAATAAGATTTTAAATTTTTCCCACAAAATCTGATTTTTATTTTAATCTTCAAATTAAATTTCAAAAAGCATAAAAGTCCAATGTTTTTATTTCGATATAAACTACGAAAAAATGTAATTGTCTCTTTCATGAGGCTATATAAAGCTGTGAACTCACAGGACTGAATCCCAACACGGCCCTCTGATGGCTCAGGCAAACTCCGCCCACCTGGGATCCTGAGGAGGATAAATCAAACACAGCCATCAAGACAATGTGAGTTTGTGTGTCTGTGTTCAGATGTGTGTGTGGTTTATATTGTATAGAGTCTCTCACTTGACACCCTCTCTCCAAATGAGTGAGACGGTGGAGTTCATAATGACTCTCTAATCGCCTGCTAACGCTAACTTCCTCTGTTATCCTGGTGAGAAATGCTAAGCATTAAGTGTAAAGTGTCAGCAGTCATTGCAGGCACATGGCTGTGGTGTAAAATATCTCTGGATGGGACAGAAATCTGACTCATCCACAACTGCACACTCATTATATATGACATACTAGATCTCACAGCTATTGCATTTAATCACAAGTTGATTTTACAACATCATTTGTTTATGTGGAGATTTTGCAGTGATGTTTGGGTCCCCTGATCACAGTTTTCTATCTCAGTGAGTAAAATATAAGCTTAAAGTGAAGTATGTCTTTATCTCCACCTTTTACTTATTCAAAATAACAAAAAATAAAAAGAACTGTCTAAAGATTTATCATGATGTTTAGTTTGGGAGCTGAGAGCCTGACCTCTTGAAGTCAACCACTTTGGATACTGAGGTGTGTTTATCACCACTCCAAAGTCAGCTGAACCACCCTGAAGCTCTTCGGTAGTCAAATGCCCTTTTAGTCTTGCTAACAATCCTTCCATCAGTTCTCCCGCAACCTTTTCTTGGTACTGAAAACTAAAAGGCACAGAACATTTGAGATGGTGCATTACCTCTCTTGTCATAAATAATACCTACATTTTATTTTCTATGCAGATGATATCCAACTTTATTTATCTATGGTGCCAAAATTATTAGTTAAACTAGAGCCACGACTTAAGGATATAAAGGCCTGGATAACCTTTAAATGCACCCCAAACTGAGGTTGATGCACCTGGGCCTAAAAACGTTATGGAGTCTAACCAGAAACTTACTCTGAATGACCATATACTTTACATATGTCTCAGAGCTATGCTGAAAGCTAGTTGACTTTGCAGAGGTGAGAGCACATTTTTGTTCTCTTTTAAAGACCACCCTGCACCACCAACCAAATAAACAGGTGCCCTGCTGGTCCAATCCAGTTTTAACTCCCTGCTAGTGAAGACAAAACCCGACCATGATGGATGAGCTATAGTTGGATCTATTTTTAATGTTATCTGTAGTGCAGTGAAAGTCTTCTGCCGTGTGTTACCAGCATGCAGGAACTTTGATCAAACAGAGCTGTTCTACTTCTGTAGAAGTTATCTGGTGCTTTTAATGTGAAAATTGCTGTACAAATAACTCTTGCTTTCTTCATGATAATTACTTTAAATGCTCTGAAAACCTAATATGAGAAACAGGACATTTTTAACCCTTGTGCAATCCAGCTATCTTTGCAACTAAAAAGCAAAATTACAGTGAAGTCATCATAGTCATCCGTTGTTTCTAACTCAATCTGAAAAAAAAAATCTGGTTGGCAGAAGCGTAATATTTCAAAGATTTTCTGTAGAAATGCACAAAACATTTAGATTACTGAAATATCTAAACACTGTCATAATGAGATACCTAATTATTGAATATATACCAGAAAAAGGGCTAATAAATCAAAGCCCATTGTGTTAAAAATGTTCATATTTCACAGCTTTCCATTCTCCGTGGCACATTAATGTGGAAAATCCTGTAAAAATCTATGAAAAGTTTTGGAGGCTAGATTTATGTTTTTATAATTTAAAGTATCACAAAAGAACATAGAAATACACTATATGGCTACTGGGTCTCTTAAAGGGTATATCCAGTTTAAAAGTCAGATTAAAGTGTTTGGATGCTGTTGTTGTGTTGCTGTGCAGTGTTACCTCTCTTTGGCATCCAGAAAGGCTTTAGCGAACGGGTTGTATTTGATCTTTAGGGCTGTGATCTGCACAGAAAAACACAGAAACATCCACATCCTGTTACGTTATTTTACACTCGAGAAGAACAGAGCACCTCAGCTGTGAAATGTTAAATGACTTTTATGCATAACAGTCCATTTATTGGACAGAGGCTTCATCTTTCATTGAGCTGTTCATTTGCAAGTAATTTCTCAATCAGGCTTCTAGATGAATATCCATTTTCATGTCCACTTATTGTATTATTTCACAGTTCTGTTTAATAAATTCTTCCTCTGTTTTGATTTGAATAATTAGTGTGTGTTCCCAATCTGTTTTTATTAACTGTGATCTCAATAAAATGAGAGAATAGATTATTAATAACCTGAACGTGACCAACTAAGTAAGGGTTTGCTGTTGTAACATTAAAAATGGAATATATTATACCCTTAAAAACTGATTCATCTCATTAAATTAAACAGATTCAGCTGGTAAAAAAAACTCTGAGCTTTACCTTTTTTTTAAACTAAATCAGACGTCTGAGCTTTACCTTTATAAAAAATTTCATACATTTGTATTCAAATGTTTTTTTCCGATTAAAAGATGTTGTGTTGTGTTTCTAATTCCGAGTCTGTGTCCCACAAATCCATATTTATTAAAAAGGTAATTGAAAAAAGAAACACTGTCCAATATTTCATGACACTTAACCAGCATTAAATCTGGTTAATTGGAATATTTGAGCAATTTTAGCTTGCTGGTGTTAGCTTTAACTTTGATATATCAAAATCAGCTTCAATTTTTCAAGAATTAGAACAAGTATAGCTGTGAAACTAGTTCTAGTTCACACCCAAACACCAAATGATATTGAAAATAGAACATCTTTTGTACCTCTTCATTCTGGTAGGCAGTGACGGCGATGAACTGCGTTTCTTTGAAGGAAACGTTAGAAACCAGTCGATGGCGAGAGCCAACACACACGATGTGGAGCTGAGGTTCATACTTATGGAGAGAATTCAACATAATCTGGGAAAATGAAGACAATTATTTCTACATTTTCCCATCATTTATAATTATTTAGACCAAGATTATTGTACATTTTTTCTGCACCTAAATGCTTTTATCTAAAAGTATTCGGCCCCCTTGAACTTTTCCACATTTTGTCACATTACAGCCACAAACATGAATCAATTTTATTGGAATTCCCTGTGAAAGACCAACACAATACAATTACTGAAAAGTGGGGTGTGTGTAATTATTCAGCCCCCTGAGTCAATACTTTGTAGAACCACCTTTTGCTGCAGTTACAGTTGCCAGTCTTTTAGGCTATGTCTCTACCAGCTTTGCACATCTAGAGGCTGAAATCCTTGCCCATTCTTCTTTGCAAAACAGCTCCAGCTCAGTCAGATTAGATGGACAGCGTTTGTGAACAGCAGTTTTCAGATCTTGCCACAGATTCTTGATTGGATTTAGACACCAGACAGGTCAGGGATAAAGTTATTGAGAAATTTAAAGCAGGCTGAGGGTACAAAAAGATTTCCCAATCCTTGAACATCCCAAGGAGCACTGTTCAAGCGATCATTCAGAAATGGAAGGAGTATGGCACAACTGTAAACCTACCACGACAAGGCCGTCACCCTAAACTCACAGGCCGAACAAGGAATGCAGTCAAGAGGCCCATGGTGACTCTGGACGAGCTGCAGAGATCTACAGCTCAGGTGGGGGAATCTGTCCATAGGACAACGATTAGTCGTGCACTGCACAAAGTTGGCCTTTATGGAAGAGTGGCAAGAAGAAAGTCATTGTCAACAGAAAACCATAAGAAGTCCCGTTTGTAGTTTGCCACAAGCCATGTGGGGGGGACACAGCAAACATGTGGAAGAAGGTGCTCTGGTCAGATGAGACCAAAATGGAACTTTTTGGCTAAAATGCAAAACGCTATGTGTGGCGGAAAACTAACACTGCACATCACTCTGAACACACCATCCCCACTGTCAAATATGGTGGTGGCAGCATCATGCTCTGGGGGTGCTTCTTCAGCAGGGACAGGGAAGATGGATGGAGCCAAATACAGGGCAATCTTGGAAGGAAACCTCTTGGAGTCTGCAGAAGACTTGAGACTGGGGCGGAGGTTCACCTTCCAGCAGGACAATGACCCTAAACATAAAGCCAGGGCAACAATGGAAAGGTTTAAAACAAAACACATCCATGTGTTAGAATGGCCCAGTCAAAGTCCAGATCTAAATCCAATCGAGAATCTGTGGCAAGATCTGAAAACTGCTGTTCACAAACGCTGTCCATCTAATCTGACTGAGCTGGAGCTGTTTTGCAAAGAAGAATGGGCAAAGATTTCAGTCTCTAGATGTGCAAAGCTGGTAGAGACATACCCTAAAAGACTGGCAGCTGTAATTGCAGCAAAAGGTGGTTCTACAAAGTAGTGACTCAGAGGGCTGAATAATTACGCACACCCCACTTTGCAGTTATTTATTGTATTGATTTCCGTTCCACTTCTCACGTGTACCAACCACTTTGTGTTGGTCTTTCATGTGGAATTCCAATAAAATTGATTCATGTTTGTGGCTGTAATGTGACAAAATGTGGAAAAGTTCAAGGGGGCCGAATACTTTTGCAAACCACTGTATATATATACATACTGGTACTGGAATTTCAAGTGTCCCTTTAATTCTTTTAAGCTGTATATTCATTTTTCCATCTTTACCCATTTACACACATCTAAACATTTTTATATGTCTTTCTCAATTTGTACCTGTTCGTATCTCTCTATATCCAGTTGTAATTGTCTGAAGCTACCTCTATCTGCTACTATCTATCCACCTTTTTAGAGGTTTTCAGTCATCTATAATATTTTTATATGCTTTTGCCCAATTATCTATATTCATTAACACCAGTTTGTACTCATCTATAATGTTTCCATTTCAATTCAATTCAATTCAATTCTATTCTATTTATATAGCGCCAAATCACAACAGCAGTCGCCTCAAGGCGCTTTATATTGTACAGTAGATCGTACAATAATAGATCCCCCGTCATCTATAATGTTTCCATTCCTCCGATACCTGCTTGTGTCCATGTATATTATTGCCCATTCATAAATGTAACCATCTATATCTGGTTGTAACTGCCTACCTCATTCTATCCATACTTCAACATTTCCTATCTGACCTGTTTAGTTCATTTCAGTACTTTTTTACTGAAGTCCATCCTCTCTGAAGAGATCACAAGCCTCACGGTAAAAACTCAGCTCTAAAAGTTTGAAAAAGTCCAAACAGCTCTGTACTTTTGAATCAATTAACAGAAAACAAAGGTAAGTGTAGTTTTGTCAGTCAGTCAGTTTGTCAGTTTGTCTGACTGCAGGAGAGTTTATGGAGTGGAGCCATCTTTGTCTTTTGGCCAAAACACTCTTTTATCCATCTGTCTTTTCTATCTCGTCCATCTCCCCATCAACCCAACCCCCCCCCCCCCCCCCCCCCCCCCCCCCCCCGCTAATGAGGCCCAATTAACCAATCCGAGTTCTCCGGGCAGACACACAAAAACAAACAGTTTTCTATTCAGATTGAGAGGCTGGCTTCAGATCTGACCCCGGCGCTGTGTGTGTGCTGGCAGTGCCCACATTAGCTGGAGTGTGTGTGGGCTCTTTTTGAATATAGTTTACCTCTCTCTCCCTCGTCCATCTGAAGCATGATGGGTAAATTAATTTCCCAGTAAAAAACATAATTACCATAATGTACAAATAAGCTGAGCAATTATTTCATTATGGCCGAGCTCTCTGTTCCAACTCTGCATTACTGCCCGGTGTGTGCGTGTCATGTTTGGACAGGGATAATGGGGTAAATATAAACAACATTATTGCCAATTTTGTAGTGCTGTGCACGTGTGTTTGTGTTTGTGTGTGCGTGTGTGCGCATGGAGGCCTCTAAGAGTGCTGAACAGCTCTCGACAGGAAGTGCATTAAACTGCTGCTGGCCAATTAAGAGCTGTTTATCCCGTTCCCGTGGTTACGAGGGGGCGAGCAGGTGAAGTGAGCGGAGAGAGGGACTGAAGTGGCTAATTAGAGGCGGTAGTCTCTCGCCCACTTCAATACAATACAGAGGGAAGGAGAGAGAGAGAGGGAAAGAGACGGAGACTCTTGACATGAACAGCAGGATAATGGACTCAAGAAGAAGAAGAAGACGGAGATGCAGAAGAAATACAGGAAAAAGTGTGGTAAAAGTGAAAGAGGGAAAGGGAGAAGAAAGACAAGAATGAATAGTAGAAAATTACGAGAACAAAAAAGAAAGATTGAAAAAAGAAAACACTAGATTAAAGAGAGGAATAAAGTACTGAAGAAAAAAGGAACTACAAACAAAACAAAGAAAGCAAAAATCAGCAGAACAGAAACAAAAAAGAGAACAAAGGAGAGAAAGAAAACGAATAAGAAATCACAGGAAAGAAAAAAAACAACAATTAAATAAAAACTGAAAATCTCAAAAATATATGAACAGACTGGATAAAAATCAAAGTATGAATGACTGCAGAAAGAACAAGTAAACACACAAAGAAATCAATGAATGAAGACATGCAGATTTTCAGGCTCTGTTCCACCCACCTGTCCTCCTCCGTTCACCTTGTTGGTGAGTTTGACCTTGTTGAAGGACACGGCCGCTTTCATCCAGTGAGCGCCGAAGTTTGGCGAGTCAGGGTGGATGTAGATGCCACCGTGGCCCCGGCCTTCGCTGCGGCTTTCCGCCCGGCCGGCCGCCACCCACTCCCCGTTTACAAACTTCCAGCGGCAGCTGTCAGCCGGGACGAAGTCCAGCAGGAAGGAGTACATGGAGCTGGGGTCCAGGCCAGAGACGCTCACTTTCAGCACTGGGAACATGCGACTGAAGAGAGACACACAGCTTGATTAAAGGGGAAAGTTTATGTTCACTCACAGAACCCAAAATAATAACAGAATTATGGGGCTAATACCAATTTTAATGCATTTTTTCTTACATTATATTATAAGTTTATACATAGATTACACACATTGCCTATACATATGAATGTATCTCTATGAAAGTTTTATTGAAGCTGAAGTTACTGTAACATACATTGCTGAACATTTAATCAACAAATTAGTCAGCAGCTTATTATAAAGATATGTTTTGACTTTGCTCACCACCTGCTCAGCTGTGGGAGCTGTTCTGCTATTATGTGATTGCAAATCTGAATTTACAGTTTCAGTTTCATTCTTTGGTTCAGTTTTTTTTAAGTATAACCAACTATAATGATAAAGTTATTTATATCAACCTGAAGATTGTCCGACTTTTTTTCTCTTTTAGCTCCATTTTTGGTCACCACCGGCACCTCAGATAAATATCCAGGTTTTAAGCTGCCAAAGGATCCACAGCATTTTGTTTTGCTTTATGTTTTGGACTTTAGATGAAATTAAATATATACACAATATAACGTTTCATATAATGAATACATTTACAAACAAATACAAAATTATTGCAACTATTAAACTACATACAGATCAAACTCAAATATTGGGAATTTGTGGATCTGTTAAAAACATTCCAGAAGCCAACAGTAAATTTGAATAGTTCTATAAAACGTCTGTGATAATTTATCACAGTCACACATTTAGTTAACAGATTAATTTTTAAACTGACAGAATTTTCAGCTGCACTGATATACAGATAGTTGTTCCTTGTAGTTTCTCAGGAGTGAGGACTTTCTTGAGCTTTTCCAGGAAAATAGTTCAGCTTTGAGAGTTGGTCAAAGAAAACATGTAAGAGCCAATTTTCAGAAATTTCTGTCAAATTAGAGATAATGATTTATATATAACACAAATAATTGTTGGATGGAGCTTTAAAAGTAAACAGAATCCAAAAAAGTCTGGTACTGCAATTTTTTGACAATTGTGCCAAACAGCTGAAGGCTGTATAAAGGCATTTTAACAATACCAGATTTTAAGGGCTTTAGAGAAAATGTCTATAATTTCCAGACTAGTTTTTCTCCAAAGAGCCTCCTGACACTACGATTCCACCCCCATTTTATTCTCTGAATATACCTTATTCTTTATTTTTCATTCTGACTGGTTGACAGCGGTACAGCCAACAAATGCATTTCTTCGATAACCATCAATAACAACTGATGACTGATTAGAAAAATCCTTACCAGAGCTAAAATTTGTTACAGGCAGCATAAACTATGACAGATTATGATAACCAACCATCTCTGCATGTGAATATAAATTTATCACCGTATGTTAAAAATACCAAAGTTTCCATCCTTCTAAAGCTGCTTTCAGACAAACAGTCGGCTCTCCAGCAGTAACAGCAGTTGAAGTGGCGTCCTGCAGGTGTAAATGGAGTGTTTGCCCACTGCAGGGCGCGACTGGTCAACACGCCTCGGCTTGGCACAAAAAAAACACAAAATGAAACACACAGAGGCGATGATAACAGCTGCTATCGAGACTAATGAATAACCCCGGTTAACAGCAGCACTGATCGGGAGTCAGCTTAAAACAGGGACACTCTGTGTTAATGTTTCTCCATCTCTGTGGTCATTTTTGCAAAAATATTCAGAAATCAAGTATCTTCTAAAACGAGCCATTATTTGTAGAAAAATGGGTAAGATTATGTTTTTAGCATCACAACAAAATAACAAATCTCTGGCAAACAAAGTACAAGTTGCCACATCTGCTCAGAAGAACCACCAACAAAACTCAATTTAGAAAAAACAACAACACAATTTTTCAAATATTTTCTTCTTCAAGCTTGTTTCTCTCATAAAGCCTGAATTGTATATTCATGCTCAGGAAGAATATGGTGTATCTTCATGCCACTGAATTGAACATAATGATCTTTTAATGTCTGATTTTTCTGTTTCTAAACTGGCTGACTAGGAACAAAAGTTGATTAACTCTCACATAAAATGTTGGCATGCTACTGTATCATTCATTGACTGCTGATGCCAATGAAGTCATTAACTTATTATTGCAAAGTCACAAGTTGAAGCACTAGAAAGTCCTCCTAATGTTACCTTCACAGGGAGTGACAGAAATGCCAAACTAAAACTGCCCGAGTAAACTTAGCAGCATTATATGGATCATAGCTATTTATAGGGCCGGTTGTATCTGAAAGGCTCAGTTTTTTATTTTTATTTTCACACTGACTAGTTGAAAGTTGCAAAGAACTGTATCTGTGTTTGCTAAATTACATTTTTCATTTGCAGACTTTCCTGACAAGAAAAATCAATTCTGTCAGTTTAGGAAAAGACTGAAAATTGCCTTTTTATGATTTTCTAACATGTTCGTTACTGAATACTGACTGTAAAGACAAAAGTTACCTGATATAATGATCTATTTCCTGTTGGCTGTCAATCTGATGGCTGTTGACAATGTACTTTCAGAAAAGTACTTTACTGATATTACATTTAACACATTCTATATCTAGAATGTATTAAAGACCATACTGTCCTTATTACCTCTATAACTTCAGAAAAAACTTCTCACAACTCCTAAATTATATCTGGACACTCTCAAAGCTATTTATCACTTCTAAATGAGCCAAACTCTTCTGATTTTCTTCCGAAAAGTCTTACAACACAATTAGAAAACGTTACTAATTGCATCCATAACTTCTCCAGGAGATCCTCAGAATCAACAAGGACTACAAATATCAGATGTCAGTCTCCCTAATAGCCTCCAGAGCTTCTTGTAGGCTTCTGAAACATCCAAAAGTATTTGTGGAATACTTTTTGGAGTAACTTATTGATTTTTTTTTTTTTGTGGAAATCTCTTCAATACCTTCAAAATCTAAAGAATCTCCTCTAAAGACCTAAAAAAAAATCTCCTGAACTAACTCAAAAACGTCTTTGAGACCTCTACAATCTCAACAATGGCTATCAAAACCTCCTCTTGTGAACACCTCTAAAACCCAAAACAAAGAGACACCCAGTATCTCAGCTGGCTAATTATGAAGGCTTTGTTTAGGAGAGAACATGTTAACGTGTTTTTTCTATCAATGTAGAAAAGTGGGTGAGGTGGCTGCAGCTCAGGAGGAAATGTAGGTCATCTACTAACTGAAAGATTGGTGGTTTGATCCCTGCCTGCTCCAGTCTACATGCCAAAGTATCCTTGGAGGAGATACTGCACCCCAAGTTGCTCTTTGATGCAACTATCAGTGTCTGAATGTTACAGAGAAAACGCTTAATCGTAGAAAATGTGCTTTCATGAATTAGTCAGTATAAATGAGATGTTCTATAAAGCACTTTGAGCTCTGCAGTAGAGTTGTAAGGTGCTGCAGAAGAATCAATTTATTTACCATTTACCCAAACGCCCTTGAGATTCACATGTTGATCAGCAGTAAGACTCAAAAAAGTAAACATTACTTAACGCAAAGTCTCTAATTGAAATGCATCCTGAGAATCTCTAATTCAGGTGTTTATATCCAGATATTTTTGTTTATTTAAGAAACTTCATTTATATTGTAATTTGTTCACCTTTTCTTTCAATTTTCTAAAGTATTCTGAAGCTGTAAATAAACTTTTGTTTCCACTACCAGGTGCTTCCTGAATAACTAACAGTTGCATTGAAGGAGTGAAGTTTGTTCATGGAAGTTTGTTAATTTGTAGCAAAAATCTGAGAGCAGTTACCGTCCATTCTTGGTGACGATCATCTCGTTAGTGATGTGCTGGAATTTCCTCCACAGCTCGGCATCCTCTAACGTCACCCTCAGTTCCCGCTCTGTTGGGTCGCCCTTCTCCCGGCCGGCCTGCAGCTCGCTCTCCACGGCGCTCAGCAGCCGCGACATGCAGCGTTCAGCCGAACCGGGACTGCACATCGACCCACCAGCACCAGTGGCACTCTGATCTACAGATGACACTGAACCAGACCCTCCATCTTCCTGTAACCCCTCCACCTTCATCTGCAAACCCAAACAAAGACAGATTCAATCGTGATGAGTTTTACAGTTTTTATAACATTAATTTCACTTGAGTAAAGATGTTTGGATTATTTTTTAGTCTTTAGAAACTTGACAATGCAATCTGATCCACCTGAATATTTTTATTTTACTAATTTAGTCCACTAAGCGTAAATTTTACCACAGAGTATGATTCTTGTCTCAATAGACTGAAGAACACAGCAGTACTTCAAATAATGGGTAAAAAAACACAGGCTGTATTTTTTCATATCGTCTCTTAGAGTCTGTTTTGTTGACCGCACTGAATCTCAAACATGGTATAAATTATGTTTTATTTGCTATAATCATAGATCAGGTTTCACTGAATGTTGAAGACCTCACACATTCTTGATGAGTTTCTCAATTTTTAAAACACCTTTTGACATTTCAAACTACATCCTAAATACAATTGATCATTGAAAATGATCAGGACCAAATCATATAACCATGGTTTTATATAATTTCTTAATAACACCTCTTTAAATTACACCAGCCCTCTAACGATCAGATTACGCTTCACTGCTGCATTTAACAGGTGATTAGTAAATCCCACTGAAAACAAAATTTTCAGTCCAGTCCACTTTGAATTCATGCTACAGGTTTCAGTTTTTTTCTAAGCCACATAATCAGTTTAACTGAATGAAAATAAAAATAAAAAATGAGCTGACGTTATTGTCATTGTTGTAGTTAGCTGGAGGACGGTGTCAGCTACCCGATAAACCCATATTGTTCCTGAAAATTTCTGCATTTGAAAATAATAGGCTGAATGCAGGTGGGGAATTTCTGGACCAAAGAAACGCAAAAAATAAGCTCGTTTCAGGAAGCAGTTTATCTGTTGTTTATTTTTGAAGCTTTTAAACAATCAACATTGTTTGATATGAAAGGAGCAAATGAAATGTGCTATAATCTGATGTTTGATTGTTCAGTTTAAATGAATCTGAATGAAATAAAAGGTTTATTTATTTTTCCAAGTTGCTCTTGAATAGAAACCTTCTTTAACTGCATCATTTAATTTACAGTGGGTTCACAGACTGAAAGTGACACAAAGGGGTCAACAAAATTGTAAAGTCTTTTACTTTGTCAGTCAGAAGCATCTGCACACCCGACACCATTTGTCTTTCAATGAGACTCTTACTTGGCTTCTAGTATGGACCTGGAAGGAAACGATGCCTGAAACAAGAATGAAAATAAAGGATAAAAACTTAAAACACATACCTTTAAACACCATCAGTAGATTGATTTATTGTATTGTCATGTCCATTTATGCACAGTTATCACATGCAAATTGGGCAAACTGAACTAATGTTTTCTTTTTTAGGGTTATGGATTTGTTTGCCTCAAATTGCTACATAGTTCACAGCATAGCAGTGTATTTAGTGCATAACATGCCATCTGTACACTTTGGGCTGATGGCTTGAATGAACTCTGTTTCAAAAACAGGACGTTTGATCAAAATTTTACCAACAACAAAACCCAAGATTGTGAATAAGAAGGTAAAATTGGCTGTAAGAAAATGTCAGATATTTGGATACGAAACTTTGAAAACCTACCAGAAAGAATTTACTCTGCAAACAATTAAAATATAGATTATTAGCGTGCAGAGTCTACCAAAAATCACCTCTGAGATCTGTGGATTTCAGCTGGTTTCTTTTCTTTTTTTATTCAAAAGCTTCCTTTTCTAGCTTTTCTTTGTCCTCTCAGACAGCAGACCCTCCAGCAGAGAAAACACACACAGGATAAAAGTGGGGATAATAAGCAGAAGTTAACAGACATTTAATGGAGTATAATTTTTCTGTTAGTTTATTTTCCGTCTGTTAACACTGCTGCTGTTGTTAGTAACCACTTTAACCACAGGACCTTTTAAACCCCACTGAGGGTGATTTAATACCTGCCTCATGATCAGAAATAGGAAAAACAAAATCAATATTGTCATAATTTCCCAGTTCTAGTTAATAATGATAATTAGAAAATTCACCAAATTAACCTAAGATTTGTTTGAAAATGTTTGGGGGGGAAAAGACTTTCCTATTTGTGTCAGTTTACACCAGGTCAAAGAAACATCCAGGACCTTTTCAAACACTCTGTGGTCTGATTTCAGGTTTTTAAGACATGAAATCCCCCGTTTATTCTTTAGCTCTCTTTAAAAAAAATGCATTATTGTTATTAGATTAGAACCTTCAATAGTTAGTAAATATATAAATATACATATATATAATATTAATATTTTTTGGCTCATTTAAATGCACGTTTAATAGAAATTACAACCCAAACATTTTAAGAAAATTATTTTACATAGGTGCAATTACTGAATTTGACAGAAAGCATATATACATCTCTTCACATTCACATTTTCACTTATGGTAAAAATTTCTATGTGATACACAATCACGTCAAAGAATTTGTATGATTTATTTAAAGATTTGAATGTTTTAATATTAAAAATAATTTCAAGAAACAAAATTCAAACAGCTTCAGACTATTTATCTCCAGTGAGTAAAAAATATAATCCAGTGTAAAGCAGACTTTTTTAATGATACACACATCCCTGTATTTAAATTTGATGAAAAAACTCCTAAAAATATTTTTTTTTATTACTGAAAGGAAGTATTCAGTCTACTTCATATATTAAATGTATATGTAAATCTTTATGTAATATTCAGATAATGAATTGTTAATTCTTGGTGATTTCAAAGTAAACACTGTTAACAAAAAAGGGTAAAAACAGATGACAAATACATTTAAAATCCTAAAATAAAAAGCACATGAATGACAGCTGACACAGTTTACTGCCCATGTGCAAAACACACAAAAAGTAAAAACTTACTTTTTGTTTAATACATTTTAATTCCATCAGTTGCAAATTTATCCAGAAATTCCTTGAAATTCCTGGAACAAAAATCTTGGAATTGTCTAACAACATTTCTACGTGAGCTTAACTATAATGGACATCTCTGTAGGTCAATAATAGGTGAAACTACAGGTGCATAAAAAGCTGCATATAAACTTACCTGTGACACCGGGCACCGAGCCGAACAGTTGAATTTATCCTAACGAGATGTTTCCGATGAACAGGGAGACGAAAGGATGGAGGTTTGACTGTGATGTGAAGCCGCTCAGCATCTGACTGAACATCACAGTCAATCAGAGGGCTTCAGTCTGACTACACCTCGCTCTGCATCTCTCTCTCTCTCCCCGTCACACACTCACACACGCTCTCCGTCTCTTTTCCTTTCAAACACACGGACGATTTACCTCACTCGGCCACTCACACTTAATCCACAGAGTGTTTAACTGTCCTTTGAATTATAAAAACTGCTTTCAGTAAAAGTGAGGAAGAGGGAGTGTTAAAAAATAGCAAACATAAAAGGGACGAGCACAATGACGAATCTAAAAACGAGCACAAATCTTTAATCTAATCTGCAAACTAATGCAGGAACAGGTGGATGTAAAATGGCAACCAACCTCCATGTTACGATTTTTATAAACACCTAGAAGTGGATGAGAAAGAGCAGAAAACAACAGCAAAGCAGGAGAAAGTGAATAAAGTTGAAACACCGGCCTTGTAGTTTGTTGAAGCTGTGAGAGCAGCACCTTTATTTAGAGCAACTTTAGAGCAGATTTGAAGTTTGAGGAGAACAAATCAAGCGTGAATAAATTATATGGTTGCCCCTCTCTCAGCCTGGTTCCCGTAGAGGTCTCTTCCTTTTATAAGGGAGTTCTGCCTTCCCACCATCACCAAGTACGGACCATATAGGAATGTTTGGCTGTTTGGGTTTTCAACGGTCTAAAGTTCAGCCTTGTCTTATTTACAGTGTTAATAAAAGTTACTGTTGGCTGGTTGCCCCACGGGCTCACCACAGCAGGCATATGCATGTTTTTTTCATACATCTCCATTTAAGGCCTCAGTCAGAGACCAGTGGCTGACCCCCTTGCAACCACCATTCCCCAGTTAAACATGCATATTACCTGACTGGTTAGTGAGTGGTTGCTGGAGGTTGAAACAGTTTGCATGGATGATGTCGATTTATCTGCAAACACCAGCCGACTACTAGCCGTGCGGTAGGAAAACATAAAAAAAAAAGTGTAACAAACTGAAAATGGAGACTGTTTATCTTCAACGCTGTGTCTTACTGCTGACAAGCAACACAATTCAAAACAGGCAACTTTTATTTTGACAGGCAAACTTGCTGTTTTTGATCTATGGCTCTGTGGTTCGTTAGCGTTTGCAGACAAATTGGCATCTTCCACGGGGAACTGTGGCAAACTGTGACCAAAGCAATCACAAGGTCTGTGCTGCAACACCATACATGTTTTCTGCAACCATTTTCACTTAACGACAGCCAAAAACCACTTTCTCGTCGATCAGAGTATACACAGTATAGTTAACAGGCAATCACCTTCCAATCTATAGGCCTTTATGTCTAGGCCTTGACTGATTTCTTTGCACATTTACGGAAAACAGAAATCTCTCACTCACAAAAATATTCAGACTAAAAAATGTAGCTACTTACTTATCTAGAAGCTGTCTGAAGTCCATTCATGAACCTTGCAAACAGATCGCTCTTTATGAAAATGATGTCTCTGCATGTCCAGAACGTGAGCTCTGATACTGGAAGCTCTGGTTTCTGTTTGGAGTTGGAGTTCTATTAACAAGTCACATTTTATTCTGCTTATGTAGAAAGCAAAAGTTTCTACTGGCTTGATTTCATTTACATACATTCATTAACAATGGATGTTGAATAAAAAGCAAGGACTCAGATAGCTGCTAGCTAAACCACCCGTGGTTTGTATTCACCTGTGGCTTCTACAGGTGAATACAGCTGATGGGCTCCTAGATTGGTGAAACTTTGGTTTGATACTTGGTTAATTGATGATCTTGATAATCTAGTATTAGCATGGCTGCTCCAGTCTAGTAGCCAAAGTATCCTGTGGCATGAATGCTCCTGATGTGTTCATTGGACTGTTATTGTTAGATAGAGAACATAGTTGAGACATATGGTAAAGTGCTTGTGTTAATTAGACAATGTGAGGTTGTTAAAGGCACTTTTTGCTCAGGTAGATACAAGAACTAGTCCACTTACGATGCAGTAACAACTCTGAGGTGAGCACAGTGCCAACTGGCATGAACAACACTGCTGAATAACTTATGAGGGCTGGTACTTTTATCACAGGATTAATTGAAAAATGCTGGTAGTAAAGCAGCTACTCCTTTGTGTTGAAAGAAGCCATTTGAGAAGAACGTTAACTTTATTTATTCATCATGAAATGCACAGAAAAGGGGGTTGGAATATTCTCTGAACAGTTTCCTGAACGTGACATCAGCCGTCCATTTAATCAACCAATTAATCACCTAAAACGAAACAGGCGTCACTGGACCAATCGCCTCCCTGGCGCACGTTTAAATGTCATATGACAGTGTTGAAGAAAAACACCAGAAGCTGTTGAGAGCAGCATGTAATGGAGAATAGGTCAGATCCAAGTGGGGAACATCTGGAAAGACATCCGATATCTGGACAGTGCATGGAGCCTTAAAAAGGGAGTGTGTGCGTGTTTTAATCAGCAGGCAGTGACGGGTGGAGATTACAGGCTTTAGAGACTTAACTGGCATAAAACAGGGAGGCAGGTAAGGAGAGAACGCACATGCACGCACACGCGCAAGTTCATGAAGGGAAGTTTTTGTGTTGAGCTGAATGATATTCACGTAAGCAGTTTCTTAAATACAGAAGCATTTATTGAAATAAAATCAGTAACAATTTCACAGTTTAACACTGCAGACAGACAAAACAAATACAGTTTTAAAAGAGTTAAAGTTGCACTAAAACATTTTGGCTAAAAATATTTTAACCTCACAACCTTTAAAAGTGAAAATGCAAGTTAAATAAAGGTGACCTGTTCTGCTCTATTCCTATATTTAATCAGGGACTCTACTTAAGTAGATCTGCATGATTCAGTTCAAACCAAACCTGAAGAGGAAACATCCACAGCTGTACTGTTAGAAAACAAAGTATTCATAGCTGTCAAAGTCTTTACTTTTACATAGGTCTATGTTATTATTTGAAACCTCAGCCATATTTATTATGAGGGTCTGACGCTGTCATGGAACAGAAAATAAAGGAAAGCAGGAGAGGACCATGAAATCCATGACCAGTTTTAAAAGCAGCGTCCAGCATCTAAATTTCAGTCACAGCTCTGTAGTGTGGTTAAAAGTACTAAATGACCGTCTGTAAGGCAACGCAAATGAGGAAAACTAAATTCTGAAGGGTTGATAAACCCAAAAACAGCTGTTCCAAATCTCAATGAAACTAAAACACATCTGGAAAAACTTAATGGAGAGTGGATTTAAGTCATTTTAACTCTTTTTCAATGAAAGCATTGTTTACTCGTCCATACTGAAATAAAATGAAATGTTGGACTGCTGTTTATAGACTGTTTCAGTTAAATATCTGCGAACTCCAGGCCCAGACGAAGAAAGCAGCTCCTTAAATAAAGTCTAGAGGATAAATATGAAAACATTGACTCTTGGATGAGGAAAAATGTGCAAACCAATTTAAAAAGAAGCAGATAACCAAGTTCAAAGTGAGACGAAACAAAAGAGATTATGGTTTTTTTTCACCTGAGAAAAAGTTTGTTCTAACACGTGAAACTCTATGACCAAGATTTGGTATTAAAATCATGTAATCCTGCAAAAAATTAAATATACAAATTACAGTAAAGAAGAAAACACTTTGACTTTTAAGGCAAAACATCCATTTAAAAAGTAAAATGATCAAAAGAAAAAGTGAGCGCACACCGTGTGGCGACAGAACGCTGATCCGTTTATGTGCAGCTGTGCTGGAAACAGCAACGAGTACCTAACATTTGATGCTCCTGAACGCAGTCGTGGCCACTATGGAAGCTTGTTTTCACCACTGAAAAAGACTTTATTAATGAATTGAAAATTAATTGCAAGTCAAAATTTCAGCTCATTAAGAAGTTGAAATTTAAAAATATGCAATTCTAGATTTTGAAATAATAACTTAGAGCTGCCTGTGATGGGTTCTTTTTTTTTTGCAGTTATGAAAACGAGCTTCCACAGACCAGAGTTTGTTTCTGTCTTGCAACAGAAGCCAAAAACAATCAAAACAAAAAAAGAATCAAATCTGCATCGCCCCCTGGAGACTTGGCAGTAGAAAGTCAAACTAAATATCTGGCAATGGTCTTTTTGTGAATGGAAAACTTAAGATGGGAATCAGATGAGCTGAATCAACAAACCCATACTGCACCTGAAATGTTAATTTGTTCAAATGTATGTAATGACTTCTTGCCACAGATACTGAGTTGGAAAGTGCTGTGATAACAACTTCAGGAAAATTGAAATTTTAGGACAAAAAACAAAACAGGAAGATGCGAACATCAGTAACACTTCAAATCAATATTAAAATGAGAAGAGAAACTCGTGGGACCTGGTTTATCTCACATGCTAATGCAGCTGCTTCACTGAATTTTAAACTCATGTAAGAAAATACTGAGTGTTTCTTCTTGAGTTTTTATTTTTTAAATAAACATTTATTTTTGTCTTCAAGTCTTTATTGCCAGGAGAGCAGGTCAGACTCAAACCCTGGCCTCTGCATTTGGTATACGTCCTTTACTCTATATGAGAATAAAAGATTTATAAGGGGTTTGCTGCCTGTTTTGATTGTTTGAATTATTAGTAATATGATTATCTACATAATATCCCCCCAAAAGCAAAGATTATTAAAGTTTTAATCATGTTTAGGTGATTTTTCTCATATTTCAGCTTAAAAAGATTTACTCAAATATTTTGCTGATGATTAAAATCATTGATTTCTGTTGACTAATTTACTAAACAAAGTTAAACTGTCACATTTTGATCTCAAACCCAGACGTCCAGCTCTACCAAAACAGTTTGATAATTATTCACTTAAGAGAATAGTTCAGTGAGTGAACACTTAGATCTGCATACAGCTGCATCAGATGCTGAAATAAACTGTTTCTTTACTGCTGAAAATAAATAGAAACCAAT